TATTACATTGATTAATTCTTATTCCAAACTTAACCCATCTTACTTTACTCATGCCAGAATTATTTTTTATGTTAACTAGTGAATTACTCGTGCCGATGCACGGGAAAAAAAATTGGTTTGTTTGGCGTGGTGGGTCGGCCCTCCGGGCCGAACTCATTGTCAGTATTTCAAAGGTCCCAAACAGTCATTTTTTTAAATAACACAACAGTCATTCATTGTTACATTAAAAATAGGAAAGAAAATAGGATAATAAAGGTCATATCTTTGAAGATAGATAAAGAGAAGAGACGCGAATAAACAGTCATTTTTTTGTCTTTACCTGTACCATACAACGAAGTTATATCTTTGAAGAAGAACCCAATATACTATAGCAGTATTTGAAATTTGGTTATGTAAACTATATTAAGGGTTCTATTCGTAACACAGCCAGTTTCATCAAGTACTTCAATATCTTCAAATCTATGCTTACTCTTTACTCTACACAGTGCCACATATAATTGCCCATGAGTGAAGACATGCTTAGGGAGATAAATTCCAACATGTGAAAGTGATTGTCCTTTACTCTTGTTGATAGTCATGGCAAACGATACAATCAGGGGGAATTGTCTTCTTTGGAAATTTACAGGAAATGTATGACTCTATGGGCTCATCGTCATTCTAGGGATTAACACAGTTTCCCCTGAGTATCGCTTCCTGTAAGTACAATTGCCTCAACAACATGATTCCCTAATTTTGTAATAAGCAATCTCGTGCCATTGCATAAACCTCTCGACTGATCAATATTTCTTAATAGCATTACTGGAACTTTAAACTTTCAAGATTAATTTATTATCAGGAATCCCTAGCATGATAATGTATTTAAGATCTCAGGGGTGATTTCATCATCCTCAACAGAGGAAGTCCCACCTTGCTTAAGAATTTTATCCGAACTCAAAAAAGTCCTTTCTTCACTAGGAATCATAGACATTAGGTGCTCGTTTAGCATAGCAACATCGGATTTAGGAGTTAGAATAATCAACATCATCTCCAAGATTACCATCCCCAACTTTAAGTAGCCACTCAGAAAATTCTTTTATTTCCTCTAAATTGTGAGCGCTACTTCTAGAATTAAGACGCATGTTCTTGGTCAAAGTTAATAAATGACAATGGGACCATAGATGAGAAGAATTGATGGTTGCATGAACTATATCTTGTTCTGCTGCCATGAGGAATGACAGGTCATATTTGCCGAAAGTCACCTCCTAGAACAACAACTTTTCCACCAAATGGCATATCAACACGTACCTTGACAAGTAATAAGTACTAATGCAGCATATGCTGATGCTCCTCTTCCAAAACAAAAATTAACAAAGATAAAGTAATCAAAGCATAAAAAAAAAAAATTGTAAAAAATTAACAAAGATAAAGTAATCAAAGAAAGAAAAGAGAGAGCGAAATAAGTACTAAAGCATCATTTGCTGAATGCGGGCAAAAAAATAAAAAAAAATAAGCACTAAAGCAACATTTGCTGAATACGGGCAAAAAAAGCTAATAAATCCTAAGGCAGCATATGCTGATTTCGGTTAAACAAAAAAAAAATTGTATGAAATATTATTATAACACGTACCTTGACGTCCTATTCTTTTCCTATGCCGATAAACAACGTCGTCGGATAAAAATTTCCAACACTCTTCCCAAACTTTTTCAGGTTTGTTCATTGAGTTGACAAATAACAACAGAGCAAACAGACATCTAAGATAAGCAGCAGATCCCCAGGAACTTGCCTCCTTAATTACATCAATGTACTCATTGTCATCATCCAGAAGTCCTAAAGAATAGCACGCATCCTTAAATGTAGGAAAAACCACGCCATTGATCGTTCTAAGATCTTCATAACTGGTGCAACCTCTTTGAAAATTAAGCAAGGTGCGAAGATATGAATCTTCTCCATTATTGGCAGAAAAACGATTTATCCTTCCATTCATGCGTTTTTTCTTTGATCAAAAAAATTGTGCCAATTTTGTAGGAAAGCAAAACACAATGGAGATTATTTTTAGTACCTGCAGTCATAAAACATTTTTATTTCATCGTCCGAATGATTTATGGCAGCTGTCACTCTGTCATTCCCTTTGTGGATGTATTTAAAAAGATATTTAATGGCACTTCTCTGGCAAGTATATTCAACGTTGATATGAGCCTGGTACTTTAAAAGAAGGTGTGCATTATAGGGCACAACATAACGATTATCAAGTTCAACACCATTTTTGTTCACAACTCTCCCATCATTTCTTCTCTTATAATGAGGAAATCCATCATCGTCAATCAAAGTACGGGAGCAGAAGTTTTTTGGAAATTTTTTTGAACACCGTCCGTCCTTCATGCAAGGAGATTTGTAATTTTCAGGACCACATGGACCATGTATCATGTAACTCGTGACAGCCATAAACAGCGTAGGATTCGTTTCCTTGTCAGGTATCTCCGCTGAAATCAATTTATCAATATCAAGAGCACTTTCAGCTTTGCTTGAAGGGTTCAAGAATAGAAGAATATGAGCATGAGGTAGTCCGCGCTTTTGGAATTCGATTGTACAAACATCTGTTACATTCAAAGAATATAACATAAGTAATAATAAGAATACAACAACGTTATAGAAAGATTCAATGCATGACGTAAATTTTTTTGTATAAAATCCAGTTAACAAAAAGAGTATCAAGTTTATAATATACTTACATGCAATGACTCTGCCAAGAATATTTTCCTTTTTTAAATCATGTAGCAACTGGTCCAATTTGAACTTGAAGACTCTGCATAGAATATCAGGCCGATCTTCAGGGTTCAGCTGTCTGGCCCTAACAAATCGTGTAATTTCTGGCCACTTAGGATTGCAGGTAATTGTTATAAAAAGATGAGGATATCCAGCCCAACGGCAAATTGCGAAAGCATCTTTACAATTTTCAGCCATATATCTAGGTCCGCCTGTGAATGAAGAAGGTATAATGATACGTTTTCCAGTGCTCAGTGCTGCATCTTCACCGCTATCTAATGAATGTTTTATATTTTTGTACAACTCAGCTCTCAGATGACTCTGGTTATATCGAATGAAATTAAGCCGTTCAAACTCAATCATAGTGTATGCATCAACCAGAAATTGTTGGAAAAGTTTCCTTGATCGATGTAGAATTTCTGATTCTCCAGATCGCATCTGAAGTCTAAACGAAAAAAATTCCTTCATGCTGATCATGGCTCTTGCATTTTTCCTACCACTGGATACAGTACGCTGGACATCATCACGATAACCGTCTTCACCGTATGGAAATAACAATGGATACTGCAAGCCAAGATATAATGGATGCTTCACATCGATGCGCTGCAATACTCTATCTTGTGTTTCAATAATGATATCCCTATCGCCCATAGCACTGTCTATATCTCCAACAATCAAAGCTGCCACTTCGGATGCTGTCGGAAGATTATAAACTCTTCCATCACTACCACGCCTTCGAATAAGCCTCAACTTTACACCATTAAAGTCATCTTCCTTATAACGGTCTCTAGCGTACCTGAAAGACTGAGCTATACTGTTGTGCTTATCGAACATCTCCTTCAATAATCGGATAATTTCAGGATCAAGCATATCTTCAGTACTGGTGGAACTGCAAATTTAATAAATAAAAAAATTGTCATTCATATTACTCAACATAAAAATATACTCCACATATGAAACATGAGAATTGGGTCAAAAAAAAAAATACCTTAGACAACCAAGTCTGTTGTCCACTTCATGCTCAGTGTCGTAAATATAAAGTTGAGCAAATTTTGGAGACTGACTATCAGCAGGCAGAAGACTGCCAATTAAATGATGAACTCTCCCCCAACTCTAAAACAGTAAGGGCCAGAACCTTGATTTACTGATCCATCCACTTTTGCTCCAAAGGAGGTGAAGGAAAAAATCATATTGTACGCTCTAATATTTCGCAAAAAATGGCGGCTCGTCATATTGGAATTAGCATGCAATTGAAGCAATGTATCCGGAGCAGTTTTTAACAAAGGAAGTTGAACTTTTCCATTGACACAACACAATCCAAATTGCGGCATACTTGGGTTACGATCCCTCTTAGTTCTTTCTGCATACCACATTTGTGCTCCACAATGCTCGCAAACAAAAGTAGGATCCCCTGCGTCCCAATAATCTAAACATATACAAATATTTTTAGATTGAAATAAGCTTGGTTGTCAGACAGGAAGTTTTTTATTTGTAACAGCAAATATATAATTTGAAATTATAATTAAGACCTCCATTGATATAAAACGTGTTTCGCACATTGAAATTGTTTATATAAATATCTATAATAGAAAGAAAAAATGATTGGAAAAAAAAGACATGTGAACACAATTTTTTTTCATGTATTAGATGAACCAAATGAGCACCGTTTTCACCATAAATAGTAGACTATAAAAAAAATACTTTGTAAAAAACAAAAAAAAACTACATTGGCACATTCGAATCATCTATATCCATAATTGTAACACAAAGGATAACGAATGGAAAACTAAAAAAAGAGAGGCCAACAGGAACAAAGAGTTGTGATTCAATATTTGAAAATTGAAAATTGAAAATTAATATAAAGACCTTGATGGATAGAGGTAATAGTTGGCACACTGGAGTCATTGACATCAGTATCTGTAACACAAAGCAAAAATGTAACAAAAATAACAAAAGACATTTTTAATATAAAAATATTTTTAACTGCGTATTAAATCGGATTTGTGCTCACCATATTGAGTATAAGTTGCAGACAAATGTTCTCCAAGATGATCTGTAAAAAATAAAAAAAATGGCACATTGGAATCATCCATATCCATATATATAACACAACAGGAAAACGTAATAAAAAAAACTAAAAAGAGAGCCCATCACGAACAAAGAGTTGTGATTTAATATCTGAAAATTTAAAATCGATAGAAAGAGAGCCCATCATGTTCTCTTATTCATTGTTATCAGTATCTGTAACACAAAGCAAGAGGTAACGAAAATAATAAAAGACATTCTAATATAAATAAATTTATTCCCAGCGCATTTAATTAAGCAAATGCGCACCAGTATAAGTCGTAAACAACTGTTCTTGAATATGCTATGTAAAAAATCGGTGAGTATAACATTTATCATTCAGACATTTAATTTGCAATTAAACAATAGAAAATTGGAAATAATAAATTTAGAGAATAAACAACGCTCAAAATAATTAATTTACTATTATTTTTTTCCAGTTACCATTCGTATAGAAGCATTCGTGCTTGCATTTTAAAAATCCAATACAAACAGTGACAGGTGTTTAAACTCACTTTGTTGATCCAAATCAGCTGAAGTCGTACTTGTACCGTTATCATATGGGGAACTACATTGTATGTCACAGATAAAAAAAAAGGCTTTAATGAATTTATATGACGTCAACGAAGGAGGTGCATGTAAAAATATTTAATTACAACATAGTGTTCCCAAAAAAGTATTCACAGGTATAATGATACCGTGATATATAGTTTTCATCACTGAACGCAGTAACGGTTGAAAGCACTGAATTCTCACTGTTCACATCAATCCCTATATGAAAAAGTCCAATGCGGAATAAATAATATAGTCGAAATAATGGTAAGTGAAAAAATAGTTAATACATTACATATATTATCCTCTTATAATTCATGGTTGTAGTAAAATCAATCAAAGACGAATTACCTGTCAAGTCAAGCATCTTTGGTATATTGTTTATCTTGACATATTGCTTAGAAGTCTTCTTTTGGAACATGATACCTTTCCGCCTTGATCTAGCATTTTTGCTTTCTAAGAAAAAATAAAATAAAATAAAAACTTAACGGCAACCAATATAAATTTTACATTTTATTTCACAAAATTAAAATAACGTGTGTTGTAGAAAATGGTAGCTTATTGAAAAGATTACCTTGTGTGGGATGAGAATGAAGACAGTCTCTAGCAATTGAGGAAGAAATATTGGATATCGAATGGTTTGTGTTTGCGTAAATACTGATTAGTTGGAAAAAAATATTATACAACATATGAAGCAGTTAAAAAAACTGCTCAATATGAAATTTAAACAATCAAACAGCAGATGTCAATTACCTGCTAACGCATGAGGGAGTCAATGGAGATAGATTTTCTACACAATACCAAAAATGTAAATGAGGTGCCAACATTATAATGCCAACTTTCCTAAGGATAGTGATCTAAATAAAGTTATCAGTTGAATAAGAGAAGGAAATCTAATCGCAAGCTAGTGCTGATATAATAATAAAACTCATATGTTGCTGTACAACCATTAGAATATGAGAATGTATTTACAAAAGAAAATAGTGTACAAAAAAAATAAATAGACATTGAAGTTAATTTCTTTTCACCTACTGTTAGTTATATCATCAAGAGAGCACCTGTTGCAGCTAAACTCATTCCGTTTACTGGTCATTTGAGAAATGCTGTATGTTTAAAAAAGATTAATAAATCAAGGATTGTTAGTCATTGTTGAATGAGATAACCCAAGCAATAATCTTACATGGCACTGGTGGAGGCAGAAAATGGAGTAAGATTTTCTACAGAAAAATTGAAAAAGTCAATTAGATAAGAACACAAATAATCGAAGTTCATTGAGGAAAGCCTTCGCACGCACCATTCAAAGGAAACGATTCCACAACGTTTGGCTGGTAGGAATTAGATATTATTTTATTATAATCACAACCACGTGGCATGCTATGCGCAGTACCAACTGGGAACAATACAAAACCGAAAAAATAATAAATCAAACTTCCAATAGTATAACGTTGCTAAAGCTGTCAAATTGGTATAAAAGAGTAACAAACCGTTTGTAATATTATGCAGTCGTTGTCTGTTGGAGCTTATATCATTCTGAATATTGCTCACCTTTGAAAGTCTACATGTTTTAAATATGGGGCAATAACAAAATCCACTAAAGAAGTTCCGCAGTTAAATTTAAAAAATCAACAAACCATGAATGACATAAATGACGGAATAAAATTACCTGCCATCGGTAGAGGGAGAAAACCCCAAAAGTTGTTCTACACAGCAATGAGTAAAATTAATGAGTAAAATTATTTAGTTGTGAAAATGAGAATTGATTGTCTGTTGCAGTCAACCTAGATGATTCACTCAGACCTCTGTTTCTTCTTTTCCTTGAAGGAGTATGGAATTCTGATTTGTATTTGCTCATTTTGATATTGTCTCCGTAGCAGTTTGGTCTTCAAATGATATGGTTTTTTGGTTTTTTAGCTCGATACCTTGTTGCAAGAAATGCAGTTTTTTAGCTCGATACGTTCAGGAAAAGAAATGCCAGAAATGCGTTGGGATTCAGTAGTTATAAAAATGTGAAGTTTTTGAATTAAACTGAATAAAGATTTAAAAAACAAAGATAACGACAAAAGAGTGATTCAGTAGTTATAAATGAGATTTTCATGGAATAAAACAGTCATTTGTTTTAATAACAAAACACTCATACCTGATTCCACTGAATCAAGAGGTTAATAAAAGATTCAAATTTAAAAATCTGAAAATAAGGAACAAAGGTCGGGATATGTATAATTATTATTTTTTTACTAATTAATTTTTTTTCCGAGTAAATAAAATTGTATTCTTTAAAAAATGTGAAGTTTTTGAATTAAACTGATTAAAGATTAAAAAAACAAAACGATTAGAACCTACTTAAAAAGAACAAACGAATACATTAATAAACACAAACAAATAAGCAATCTTGACCATTGATTTAAAGTAACAAATCCTGTCCATTGAAAATAGAATTCTTTTTTGTATTTATTATATTCACCGATTTACCATTAAAGGAAACTTTTTTAAAATTTGTAGTGTGAACACAATAGTGAAATTGAACCATAGTGCGACATGTCAACAAGGTTTCCACAGAATTGAATTCCTTTATAATATAAGAAGTGTACACTACCTTGTCGTTTAAACATTTATGTATATAAATTCACATATTTTGATAGAGTCAAATTATTTAATTCTTATAAAAAGGAAAAATAAATACAAAATTTTTATACGATAAAATCATAAAATTTTTAAAGTGAAAGAATATTTGCAATAATTTCCAAGAAATGGTATCGGAATAGGAACTGTGGTACCATGCCATGCCCTCTTAAAAGCGTACGGTTAGGGGTAGTTGGTTGGTAAAGACCACGAGGAAGCACGAGTTACGATGGCGAAGTGGCAGGTGAACCTGCTATTTTCCTGGAATAACTTTATTATAATAATCTAAAAGGGGTAGGTGGAGTTCCCATTTTGCTAATTGATATAATATTATTATTGAAGTTTTGATAAAGAGTAAATTAATTCCTCTAGTCAAGTCATATTTAGTATTCTTTTTATTTAATATTTAAAAAAAAAATATTAAATGTGTTTGTATCTTAATCTGATAAATGATTTTTCATTTGACACGTTTTACTTTTATTTTTTAATCAATATTTTGTTGGATGTTTATTATCAGATATGATGTTATTGTAACAAATTTAAAAGTAGTTAGTATTAACATATAAAAAGGTTATATTTATAAATATTTTATTTATAAATTCTTATAAATTCAATTATATATTTTAGAAAATACGTATTTATATGTTTGTATTTTCTGTAATAAGTAATTAAATTTATAAGAATTCTTAAAAAAAAAAGTTATAATATAATTTTTGCCATTAATATTTGTTAACTTTGCCATGTGTTCGTTGACTATATAGAGAATTTCTTCACTGACATTAAGTTTTCGATATATTTGTTACTCATGATATAACACGTGTTTTAATTTTTATCAAATTAGTTAAAATAAATTATTTATTAATAATTTATAAAAATAAGATATAAGTTATATTATAAGTAAAAAATGTACTAAAAACTCAATGCTTCATTATCACTCAAGAGATTCTCCACTATATATTTAATGGAAATGGATCCACTCATGAAAGAAAATTATTATGCTCCAGACTCACTATTTATTCAGTGGTCCCTTCTTCATAAATGAAAAAATTTATTTTATTTATATTCTATCTTTTTTGATATTTTTTTTTATTTTAGAAATGGACCACCATGCTCCATAATTACCAAAAAATATCTCACTCTCATGTTAAATAAAACCATGACATCAATGTTAAGAAACCCGGACCGACCCTGCCGGGTCGATCCAGGAACCGGTAAACCGGTCATATAATCGGTTTGGTTGAAGCAACGGACCGGTCATGAATCAGAACCGGTGTGACCCGGTCTAACCCGGCTGGTTTTTATGAAAACCGGTGACCCGGTACAAAAAAAAAATCCAATATTTTTTTCAAACAAAAATCATAATGGACAAATTTGAATATTTTTTTGCTTATTGACGTACATAAGTTATGTACCTACAATAATAATATTATCTCAATTATACACTATGCAGAAAAGTTTGATTTGATTTATAGTTAAAGATGTCGTTTTCTGAACTTAAAGCCCCGTATCACGATCATTATATTTTTGTTTGATCTTTTATTGGATAATAATATGTGATTTATTATTTTTTATATTAAAATATTTGAAATTTTTATCTTTTTTTTAGATATTTGAGTATATTTATAACTTTTTAATATAAATTATAAAATTGCATATAATTACCGGGTCATGCGGTTGAATCAGTGACCCACTGGTTGAACCAGTAACCCAGTGACCCAGTACCTCGACCGGGTCAATGACCGGACCGGTTTTAATAACATTGCATGACATGGTATCATATCTATTTAAAAGTAGGGTTATATTTATTTTATTCAACATGAGATAAATTAAATTTCTATACATACATAATAAATGTGAATCTCATCTCTATTTTTTTCTCTTCAATTATTTGTGGGTCCCTTTTATAATTTTGTTTCACTAATATAAAATAACTATATCCAACAACATAAGAAAAATATTTCTCTTCAAAGTAAATCAACAATTTTAATTTTATAATTATTTATTTTAATATTTTTTTCACTTTTTTTTTTTATTATTGATTTATTTTATATGGTTATGATTGTAAGTTTGTAACAGTATGTCACATGTTTTTCAAGACCAGAGGATCTGGATCCATGTTTAGTTCACTGACTTAATAACCTCATTATTAGTTGTAGTTCATCCTCGTTCCTGCATTTACGTTTGTTCTGGTTCACTTTCCTTCATACTCTTACAGATTGAGTTCAACTTGCATATTTTATTTTCACTCTCTCTCTCTCTCTCTCTCTATTTTTTTTTTTTTAATATCTTCTTTTGGGGTGCAGCTTTGACCTCAAATGGATGCAATACCAGAAGAGCAGGCAAGCCCTAAATTAATACTAATGCTTTCAATTACTGATTTTTTTTTCCCCGATAGATCAGTTTCCCTTTTCTTTTAGATATGCTGTTTTTTTTTTTTTTAATTTTTTTTTTGTATTTGAGATTGCTACCACCCATAATGGGTTTCTGCAAAACAAGAAATGCTAGTGATTAATGAATGAGGTATTGTTTGTTTTGATCTTAAGGTTGTTCTTGGAGAAGAGATAGATCATGTAAGGGTTGTCACTTTGAACAGGCCAAGGCAATTGAATGCTGTCTCACCTGAACTGGTAAGTCCACTCAACTCAACCTTGAAATTCTTTCTTCCCTGGTGGGTTCTTTACTACTTTTTTTTTTTTCTTTTTAAAAAAAAAAAAAATCTATCAGCTTTATCTTCTAGCAGCATATATGGAAAAGTGGGAGAAAGATGACAAAGCAGAGCTAATTATCATAAAGGTTGTTATTTATTTTATTACCCCTTGATTTAATTTTATTTTTATTTTGCTTCAAAAGAGTAGTCCTAATGCTGTACCAACTGAAATGGTTGAAATAACCTTACTAGTTATTATTAATGTTTTTTTTATCCTAACAGATTATGTTATTATAACTCACCAAATGGAACAATCTACCTTCCTCTTGTATTTGTAGCTTTACTTATTACACCGTTACACTTCACTCAAGTGCTGTACATCTGTCTTTTGCAGGGAGCTGGTAGGGCTTTTTGTCCTGGAGGGGATTTGAGAGTATTCTATGATCGCTTGAAAACAAGTTAGTGCATCATTCTTTATAATGATTTAGATGAATCTGTGGAAACAAGTTCATAGAGAGATTTCATTATTTTTTCTGAGTTAGCACCAGTAGATAATATTTAAGAGAGAAACAAGTAAGAGGATGTCTTTACATTTACCTTGCCTCTTTTGAAGAGTAATGCATGCATTTTCTTCTTGACAGAGGATTCCTCCTGCCTTGAAGAATTCTTCTACAGATTTTACTGGCTTTGTTATCACATTAGTACCTATAAGAAAACTCAGGTTCTGTTTAGGAACTTAATTCCACTTTCTCTTTAAACTTTTGAAGTAACATGTCCTTGTGAAAATTTAGTGAAGTCTTATGTTTTCTAGAATGGTGCTATTGTGTTATAACAGGTTGCTCTTGTTCATGGAATTTCAATGGGTGGAGGTGCAGCTTTGATGGTACCATTGAAGTTCTCAGTTGTTACAGAAAAAGCTGTAGGTGTTTATTTTGTTAGAGATTATTTTCTAAATTCATTTTTAGTTAGTTTTGTGGTATGATTAGCAGTGTACTATTATCCTTAATTTTTTGTGGTGTGTTAAAATGAATGCTTTGACAGGTTTTTGCCACTCCTGAAGCAAGTATTGGATTTCATGCTGATTGTGGCTTCTCTTACTACCATTCTCGTTTACCAGGGCATTTGGGTAACCACAAATTCACAAAGAATTCCTCTTACCAGGGCATTTAGACTGTTTTGAAAATTTCCCCTTTACACTTCATCTCCCTGGCTGTTAATTCTTTCATGGCAGCAGAAGTGTGTTTAAAATTTTCCTGAATTAGCATAAAATGTTTTTAAAATGAGGAAAAAGAAACATGTTAGTTAGATTACATAGAAAACTGTAGAGATGAAATCATGCATGTTATACAGGTGAATACTTAACACTTACTGGAGGAAGGTTGAGTGGGAAGGAAATAGTTGCAGCTAGATTGGCAACCCATTTTGTCTCTTCTGAGGTTTGATTATCTTCAATATCTGCTTTCTTTTTAGAAGGAATTTACTCAAATGATCACTGCTCACACATGCTAGTGTAATCATACATTCATACTTGATTGGTAAGAGGCACCTTGCTAGTTAAATTACAAAATTCACATGGAATCTCTGTCAAATCCTGCTTCAAATTAATTTGGTGTTCATCCAACCTAGGAGACATCGAAATTTTTTCTTCATAAATGATGCAAACATGATTAAAATCTACAAACCAATAAATATATGGCATATCAATCCAAGTTTGTAAGTAGTATAGACTATAACAGTTCCACAGAATACACAATTTTGATTGCTGTAGTGTAGGAGTAGCTACTCCATTATGGTCTGTGAATGGAAGTCTTGGTAATTATGGCTTGCTTCATAAAGAATATAGGTTAGTTTTTCTGCTTTTGGAAGTCTTGTATGACCAATAATTCTAGTATTGAAATTGGACACATAAGCCATAAAGTTGCTGATAACATGTTGATGGGGCCTTACAACCATTTGAAAGAACCTATGTGAGGAAAAGGAAGGCCCAAAGGATGGAGAATAACCAACTGATAGTAAAAGCGAATGAGGAAGGGCAGTTTGTTATTAGTGAGGCCGCGTGGCAAGCAATGAATGGTGAAGGGGAAATAGGGAGTGCGTGTGAAGAAGATTCAAATGGGGCCAAGGTGATATAAGGGAAGGAAGGAGAACGTGTCAGGCTGTGGAATATTCATGCTGTGGAGTATGGTGGCAACTGAGTGTGGTGCTCAGTAGCTGGGCATGGGGTTCTTATGTTAGGAAGATGGATGATCAGAGGAGTCATTTGGCTTATCGTTTTTAAATAGGTGTCTTGTGTTGCTGCTGAGTCATTTGAGTATTTTCATCGTTGTATTTCTTGCATTGTTATTTTATTGCTGTCTTTGTCCAGTGGTTGGAGTCTGTATGAAGGGGATGGGGTCTGTTGTTACTCTGTTTTTCGGATGTAACTAGTGGTATTGTTAAAGGAGTATATCTCCAACGAGTTATTGAGCTAATAGAAGTGATATTTCACTATTAATAGTTATTATTCTTGCTGTGAATTGTCTGGTACCATCATTTTGGTATCAAAGCTTGTACAAGGCCTAGGTGATTTATGGTTCAAACGAGAATGGAGACTCGAAGGGAGGAAATGGAGAGACGATCGGACAAAATGAAGGCTAGGGTGGGAGGATTAGAGGAGAATTTCAGATTACTCAGAGATATGGTGCTAGAATCAATGGCAAGAAGGGATAATCGCGCACCAGTAGGAGCGGGGGCAGGGGCCAACGCTGGCGGTGAAGAGGAATGCCTAATACTCCCAACCATCCTAGAGACGAAGAACGTATGCGAAGGGTAGAGGTGCTATACTTCAATGGCGACAACCCATATGGATGGATTTTCAGAGCGGAGAAATATTTTTGCGTCAACTGGATTCCAGTAGAGGAACAAGTCGATGGTGGAAGAGCTCTGAGTTGGTTTAATGATGGGAACTAAGAAATCCTTTGATTGGCAGAGATTTCGTACAACAGTTTTGGAGAGGTTTCATACTTTAACCACTAGATATCCTTACGAAGCTCTGATGAGTTTGAAGCAAACCAGAACGGCGGAGTACCGCGGGCAATTTGAGGTGTTGTCTGTCCCTTTGCATCACGCCAATGAGAACATAGTGCAAGCGGCGTTCTTTATAGGATTGCGAGAAGTGATAACGGCGGAGATCAGAGTTCACTTCTCGGATGATTTGGTGCAGATAATGAAGCTTGCTCAACGAATTGAGGAGAAGGAGGCCATATTGGGCCGAGCAGGGACGTGGGTGGGCTGAAATTGAGTTGGGCATATTGGCTCTAGTGTTGGGTTTGTGGGGCATACAACACTAGTAATAGAAATGGGTCCAATTCGCATCATAATGGTCGAAATGGGCCTCAACTAGCAACCCAACCTGATGAGAATCAAGTGGAAGGAACTAATCCTTCACCAACAGTCAATGTGGGTAGCGTTAACCTTACCCGAAATGAAACCCGCGAAAATGGGGGAGTGGCCAGCCCTGGGTGTGCGTCGGTGATAGCTGACGGTCAGGATGGACGAAGAGGCTCGCATTTCAGGCGTCTCATCCAGGAGGAGATTGATGATCGAAGAAGGCGTAATATGTGCTTTCGTTGTGACGCAACCTTCGTGCCTAGACATGTGTGTCAAAACCCGCAGCTTAGTTTGCTGATTTTGGGAAATGGTTGTAACGAAGAGAACGTGGACGACTTGGGTGCTGAAAATCAAGGTATGGCGACAGTAGAAACCTTGCAATTGAGCATGCACAGTGTGATTAGGTATACCTCCAATCGCTCTAACGCTTGAATCACTTACCTTTTGTTTCATTGCTCTTTGTTTTTTTTTTTGGTTTTTGGCTGTATAGGGCACGGTCAAAATCGCATGTCGAGATAGTCAACGTGTTCCAAAATGTTGACCGCGTGTCGAAATATGTTGGTGTCCGACACACATTTTTAGCCCTTGACTGTATCGGGCACGGTCATAATCGCGTGTCGAGATAGTCAACGTGTTCCAAAATGTTGATCGCGTGTCGAAACATGTTGGGTCTGACACGCATTTTTTTTGAAAAAATCACGTGTCAGTGCTTCATTGAGTATAAGGATGTCTTTGAGCCTCCTTCAGAGTTGCCTCCCCAGTGTTCGTGTGATCATAAAATTAGTTTACAGAAAGGAGCTACAATACCAAATATTTGACCCTATAGGTATCCTTATTATTAGAAGGCAGAAATAGAAAAGTTCGTGAAAGAGATGTTGCTGGCTGGCATGATAAGGCCAAGTAATAGCGTTGATATTGGTGAAGAAGGATGGAAGTTGGCGTTCTGCGTGGACTACATGCACTCAATAAGGTAACCATACTCGATAAATTCCCTCTCCCTATTATTGATGAACTCTTGGACGAACTGCATGGAGCGGTATATTTTCTAAACTGGACCTTAAGTCAGGGTACAGTCAGATTAGAATAAGGGTGGAAGATGTGTTTCACACTCATGAGGGTTACTATGAATATTTAGTGATGCCTTTTGGGTAGCGAAACGCATCCTCGACTTTTCAATCATTAATGAATTCTGTCTTTAAGCCCCATTTGAGAAAATTTGTGCTGTTTTTTTTTTTTGACGACATATTAGTATACAACACCAGTGTGAAGGATCATGTAGTCCATCTTCAGGCAGTGTTGGACTTATTAAGGCAGCATCATTTTTCTGCCAACTTTAAGAAGTGTACCTTTGCACAGCAGGAATTAGAATATTTGGGGCATTTAATTTCCAAAAATGGGGTAAAAGTTGATCCCCTAAAACTGACAGCAGTAAGTGGCCTATTCCACAAAATTTAATGGGGTTTTTAGGCCTCACGGGGTACTATAGAAGGTTTGTTAAGGCTTGTGGTCACATTGCTTGCCCTTTGACTCAGTTATTAAAGAAGGGTGGCTTTCTTTGGGGGGAAGAGGCTCAACAAGCTTTTGACACTTTAAAGGTTGAGATGCTAAAGTTATCTACCTTAGCATTGCCTAATTTTAATGAGACATTTATTGTAGAGACAGATGCCTCAAGGGTGGGCATGGGGGCAGTTTTAATGCAACAAGGGCGTCAGATTGCTTTAAAGTTTTTAGAAAAAGCTAGAATCCTATTTCTGCATGAAAGGGAATTGAAGGCAATTGTGTGTTTGCAGTCCATAAGTGGCGTCACTATCTCATGGGTCGCCATTTTGTGATCCGAGAAAACCAATGCAGCTTAAAATATCTTACTGAGCAGCGTTTAATGGCAGAGGGCAGCATAAGTGGATTGCAAAGTTGTTGGGATTTGACTTCTAAATCCAGTTTAAACCGGGTCAAGAAAATAAGGATGCTGATGCTCTTTCACGGGTAATGGATTATAAGGAGTTGACCTTGGTCACTAGTCCAGATGTGCAAGCTATATTCGAAGAAGTGTTGAAGGACCCGGTGACTAACAAGATTATGACTAAGGTGCTGTTAGATGGACCTTCACATCCGGGTTATCAGGTGATTAAGGGTTGCTTGTGGTACAAGAATAGGTTGGAGATCCAATGGATGTCATCACGCAGTTCTAAGATTATGGAGGAATTCCATGCTTCTCCATGGGGTGGTCATTCGGGAGAGTTACAAACATATAAGAGGATAGCTGCTGTGCTGTTTTGGAAGGGCCTGAGAAAATATATAAGTGCTTTTGTGCGACAATGTGCTATTTGCCAACAGTAGAAATATGACAATCGACTGACCGCGGGGTTACTTCAGCCTTTATCCGTGCTGGAGAGGGTATGAGATGATCTCTCCATGGATTTTATTGGTGGTTTGCCCAAGTCAAATAGAGTGGATACAATCTAGGTGGTGGTTGACAGGTTAACTAAATATGCGCATTTTATAACCCATAAACATCCCTTTGATGCCCAGGATGTGTCTGTTGTTTTTGTGTAGGAAGTGGTCAGATTGCATGGATTTCCAAGAACTATTGTCTCTGATAGAGACTGGGTCTTCGTTAGCAAGTTTTGGGGAGAATTATTCAAGTTGGCGGGCACGAAAGTGAAATTTAGCTCCGCTTATCACCCGCAATTTGATGAACAAACAGAGGTTGTAAACAGAACTTTAGAAACTTATTTACGATATTTTATTAATGGACATCCCAAAGGCTGGGCGAAGTGGCTGCCATGGGCCGAGTTTTGGTTCAACTCCTCTTATAACAGGTCCATTAATATGACACCTTTTAAAGCTGTTTATGGCCAAGACCCGCCCACACTTCTATGTTTTAATAATGGCAGTTCTAGTAATAGTTCCCCTGTTGCTGCAGTTGAGCAATGGTTGGCTGCCCGTGATGTTATTTTAGCTGACCTTAAACAGCATTTATGTCGGGCACAACAGAGAATGAAGACCCAAGGTGATAAAGGACAAAGGGAAATTGACTATAAGGTGGGACAACTGGTTTTCCTAAGGATACAGTCATACAAGCTGCGTTCTTTGGCAAGGAGGTTGAATCAGAAATTGAGTCCGAGATTTTATGGTCCCTTTCCTATTATTGAGCGAATAGGACCAGTGTCATATCGTTTAGAACTCCCTTCATATTCAAAAGTACACCCTGTTTTCCATTTTTCTCAATTAAAACCAGCCGTTCCTGATTCGACCCAAGTGTTGAATCTGCCTCGTTGTTTGGTTGATACCTTGGAGTTAAATGGCAGGAGCTTGATGATTGTGTCTGCACATGGGAAGATTTAGTTGATTTCCAAGACCAATTCCCTAATTTTCCCCTTAAGGACAAGGTGGTTCTTGATGGGCCCTTACAACCATTTGAAAGAACCTATGTGAGGAAAAGGAAGGCCCAAAGGATGGAGAATAACCAACTGATAGTAAAAGCGAATGAGGAAGGGCAGTTTGTTATTAGTGAGGCCACGTGGCAAGCAATGAATGGTGAAGGGGAAATAGTGAGTGCGTGTGAAGAAGGTTCAGATGGGGCCAAGGTGATATAAGGGAAGGAAGGAGAACGTGTCAGGGTGTGGAATATTCATGCTGTGGAGTATGGTGGCAACTGAGCGTGGTGCTCAGTAGCTGGGTATGGGGTTCTTATGTTAGGAAGACGGATGATCAGAGGAGTCATCTGGTTTAGCATTTGTAAATAGGTGTCTTGTGTTGCTGCTGAGTCATTTGAGTATTTTCATCATTGTATTTCCTGCATTGTTATTTTACTGTTGTCTTTGTCCAGTGGTTGGAGTCTTTATGAAGGGGATGGGGTCTGTTGTTACTCTGTTTTTCGGAAGCTACTACTGATCCTGTTAAAGGAGTATATCTCCAATGAGTTATTGAGCTAATAAAAGTGATATTTTACTGTTAATTGTTGTTATTCTTGCTGTGAATTGTCTGGTACCATCACATGTTAAATCATGTTATGGCCAAAGTTTCATGATGTCCTCTAATTGTACTACGGATCTTACACCCTAGCTGCCTGAAGAATTTTTTTATTGGTCAGTTCAACTCCATCGAGAATATGGTGATGTTTTGAGCCAAATCTGGTTCATTAACCTATCCTATATCATATATTTGAGGAGCTGAAGTTGAGGGGCATAAAAATAAAATAAAAAAGCATGGAAGGATAGTTGCATTTCGGAAAAGGTGGATAGAAGATAGGTCTTTTGGAAGTTTTGATGCGAATAATAACTCAAGGATTATGGTTGCTTGTAATACTTGTTTAGTAAAAAATCTATTTTATCATACCATTCGATTCAAAGAGAAACACTTTGAGCTCTAAGCCCAAAATTTTAGAAGCTAAAGTAAATTTGTTTACATTTCCTGTTTTCTGATCGGAGACATTGGTTCTCTGAACTAATATGTCTCAGATTATTAAATTTTTCTGAAAAGAAAAGAATGGGGTAATGAAAAGGACCAGATGTTTCTCTCAAAAGTGCTTCTCAGGGATCCCCATTCTTTCTGCAGTGTAGGGCCCTGTTAGTCTGTACAAAGATGAACATTGTTATATGCATAGTGTTACCAGATGTTTGCTAGTTTTATGTGTTAATTTGATCAATGATGCTTACATTTTCTGTGTAACAGAAAATTCTTGAGCTAGAGAAGCGCCTGATTAGCTTAAATTCTGGTGATGAGAATGCTGTAAAATCAGTAATTGAAGAATTTTCTTCAGAAGTTAAACTTGATGAAGAGAGTATTTTAAACAAGTAATTACTTTTTAATCTATGATCTGTAATTTGTTTTCTAGTTTTATTGTCACTCTTTCCAGCAAATTGCACTGTACTCATGATAGTAACCGTTGGAGATTTTCAGGCAGTCAATAATTGATGAGTGTTTCTCAAAGGATTCTGTTGAAGAAATTATAAAAGCATTGGTAAGTTTCTCACCATTTTCATATGAATATTATTATCTTATTGCATGCTTGTGTCTTTCTAGGCCCTTATATATGACTATGTTCTTTGATCGGAAGGAAGCTGAAGCAAACAAGGAAGGAAATGGATGGATAGGTGCAGCTTTAAAAACCATGAAAAGATCATCACCTACTGCATTGAAAATAATGTTAAGATCGGTGAGGAATTTATAATATGAATTTTGTAAGATCTTAGACTGGACTCTGGGACTATTAGTTCGTCAAATTAAGATTGGCAGATTAAGCTCATGGTTGAAGCAACCAAAGGCATATGAAATCACTTGTCTATCACAATTAATTTTTTTGCTGAAGTTCTGAGATGAGAATCCTCTTGTAACTTGATAGTATAATGAAAATATCCTAATCTGCTAATATGCATATTCATTTATACAAATCATATGATTTTGTTTAAATTTAACAATGACAATAATTTTCCCTGCTAGATTTTTAAAACTACTTTCTTTCAAATTTTAGAAGATATTAAATCAGGACAAAGAACAGAAAAGGTAAATGCATAATCTAATTAATAACCTAAGTCTTTGGACATGAAACTCACTGTATTAAGAAAAGGAAGGAGGAAAAAGCAAGTCCTCCTTGTAAAATTAAGATAGACATGCTATTTCTAGAATTTCATGCTTCTACATGCTGTCTTGGATATGTGCAGGTTCGTGAGGGAAGGAATCAAACACTATCTGAATGCGTGAAAAAGGAATTCAGATTAACAATTAATATACTACGAACTACATTATCTGAAGATATGTATGAGGTAATTATTGTAGTCTCATTGCTAGAAATTTTTTTCAAAGAAGGCAGCTCAAATTTGTTAAAAATTTTCAAATTGTGTTCCCTACTGAAATCTGATGCAAACTTCTATTGTCTTTTGATGAGAAGGGTATTAGAGCTCTCACCATTGACAAGGATAATGCTCCAAAGGTATGCTCCAAAGCTTTCTTATATACCAACCTTGAGAAGGAACATGTATTTATAACCTGCAAAACTTGACTAGAACATTGCTATCCATGTCTGTTTAAAAAATTAGTACAAACATCAAAGCCAATCAAGGAATGACATTTATATCCTAGAAAAAAAGGCAAAATATAATAACTACTGGCAAAATCATGTGTACATAAGTTTGGTTTTTAATCTTGAAAAAGGAAGTATTGTTCTTGTTGTTTCTCTTTTATGATACTAAATAATCATAATCAACTCGTTCAGTGGGAACCTCCATCGCTTGACAAAGTAGATAATGGAAAGTTGGACTTGATCTTTCAACCATTTGATAAGAATTTGGAGCTTCAGATTCCAGAAAAGGAGGAATGCAGGTTGGTTTCTATTTGAGTTTTGATTCAGTAAGTATGTTTTCTTAGAACCAAATTCATTAGTATAACCAAAATTCCTTTCTCTAATTCCAAACAGGTGGGATGGTAAATCTGAGAATTCAGTTTATGCGATTCCAAACAAAACAATACCAATCTCTGGTTAGATGGTGCTTCTCTAAAAATTCCTCCATAAATTTGTCCTGGATTTCTCTACTTCCTTGTGTGCTTTTATCCAGGCTACTGTTTCATGTTCCTGAATAATTTCTATAAACAATAAAAAGGTTCATTAAGTACTGTATAGGGCTAGCCCTCCATGTTTGTTATCACTGTTCTGAGGAAAAATATTATGTAATTTCAACTGTTACGTGGGTGGAAGTGTTATGCTGTAGAAATATAATGCTCCTCCAAGTGTTCGAAGCGACATCAGTTACTATTACTTTGGAACAGCTGCAATATCAATTTCCTTGTACTATAATGGGCATCTTATATTGTAAGTTGTACGGAGTCATTTGTGCAATGTATCATTTCCTCAATATTTATTATTATTTTTCTTATGCAATACAATTTTTCCTTCAATAACCACTATCACCGTGAAAGCTCTAACAATAAGCACGTATATATGGAAAAAATATTTTAAGATTATTTATAGTTATCCTTTTATAACTATGTATTTCCGGGAGTATATAATTATAACGTTAATCTTTTTTTTTCTCTCTTCATGTCAGCAGATAGGTTTTGAAAAGTGACTGAGAAGAGAAAAAAAAATAAACTTATAATTATGATTTTTTAATTTTTTAATTTAAATTGACGTCGTTTTGAGCTCATTAGAGATGACCTTATCTCCCGTGACTCTGGAAAAATACTTTTCCCTATATATAAACCATGTCTACCATTTAACTTTCTATCTTTACTATTACTTTTGCATTGTTAGATTATATCTAAATCAATGGCTCCCAAGCACATTAGATTTCACTATTTTATCTCTCTTTGGTCAAAGATTTTCTTTTCCTTCTCTCACTTCAATTAAATATATATTTTTTTTTTGGAAATAAATGTTCCCTCGCTTTAATCTTGGGGTGTGCACTTCCAAATGCAACCCGTATCAATTTTGTTGGTTCTCGCTTTCACTCATTCACGGATGCAATCAAGCAAATAAAACAAAAAAAATAGAAAATAATATGCAGAATGCACTGATAACAACAACATTTCATTCTCGCTCTTTGATGCTTGGAACGTCAGCTCCGACCCTCTCAAAAAATATCTCTACGACAAGTAGCTCTCCATCTTCTCTAGGGTTGATTTAACCATCCCAGTTTGGTTCCAACAAGAGAAGTTGGATGTTCTATTCATGCTTCTATGGCTGGATTTTTATTTTTTTTTTCTTTATGTTTATTATTGTCTTAACCAAAATTTGTAATGATAGCATTTGTAAAAGTTACGATGATCAAGGTTTGCTCCTAACTATGTTTTAAATACTTAACTTGTGTTACTAATTTGACATATGATGCATTGCATAACCAAAAAGAAAAGAGAGAGAATGTTTAATAAGAGAGATAATATTTGACTAATGAGTGAGAGAAGAGAGACAATGTTTAATTAAAAAGAGAGATTATTTAACCAAAGAGAGAAAATAGAATCCAAGAGTTGTTGGTTTAGAAGCGACCCAACTAGATCCCAAGATCTGACTTCCCCAAAGAATAGTGGGTTGTATTTCTAAGAGTTGCGATTCTTGGGAGGGTAGAAAGGCTTAAATCCAAAATCAGATTAGTCGGTTTGTTATGGTTTTAAACATTGATTGGTATCTATAAAAGAAATAAGAGAGAGAAAACAGTGGGTTTCGGTGTGATTAGGATTCATTAACTTGAATTCGATCCAATAGTGAAAAAGTGATAATATACTATTATGTTAGAATTAGAACTGGCTATTACTTTAAATGACTCATTAAATCCCATTGTTTTCTCTCATTATTTTTTTTCCCTCTCTATCTTCAATTAAATGTTCTCTCTTTTCTCTATTTGGTAGTCAAATATTCTCTCTCTAATTAAATATTCTATCTCTTGTCATTTTGCCACATATCGAAGGTAAACAATGCATGGCAAGTTTTATATTTAAAACATATTTAGGAGAAAACCTTGATCATTTAGCTTTTACAAACACTATCATTACAAATTTTGTTTTAGAGATTAAGAAACATAAATAAAAAAATAAAAATCAAACCATAAAAGATTAAATGGAACACCCAACTTCTCTTGTTGGACCTAACTAGGATGGTCAAAACGACACGAGAGAAGATGGAGAGCTCCTTGTCATAGAGATATTTTTTGAGAGGGTTGGTGTAACATCCCGTTACCGAACCAGTGCGTTAACATTACGTATGATATTAAGTGCAGTAACAATCACATTAGTTAATTTAAAGTACGGCCAAATTTTTCTTTTTTAAACATTTTCCATTTCGTTTTAAATTCATACCGTATAAAAATATAACCCAAAACTGTAATTATAACCATACACAATACAGAATGTCAAATCTAGCTTAAACGTATCATACAAGCCTCTTAAGACTCTACCATGAAGTCCTCATAAACAACATGACACCAAAACTCAAATTCCAATAACAGAGCAAACAAAACTACTGCAAGGGAAGTATTCAAATACTTCCCGAAAAGTATTCGAATACTTTCAAGACAATGGCTGATTTTTGGCTTCTGCTTGACAAGTATTCGAATACTTTTTATGAGCATTTGAATACTCACTGGACATAAGCTAAAATACCATGTTTTTACAGCATTCAAAACCATGCTAATTCCCTCCTTGGTTTCATACAACCTGATAGAATGGAACGACAACCAAAGGCCCAACAAACCTAGGTGCACTTATATCCGTTAACATATATTTCAAGTTATAACAAATGAAAATAACATTAAGACCATTACATGACATGTAATTGTACATATGTAAATCCATATACAAGTCCTTCAAATGAATACGTATACATCATATATCTTTTGGTAAAATAATACTTAAGTTAACAACCTATACACATGTCTCTAAGATATATACATAGGCATAATCAAAGAGGCATAAACATCTCCTATGATCTCAAATATAAAACATCATGTGAGACATGTAAGCATTCAAAATATAATCCCACAAGCATACAATATCATGGCAATTTAGCCTGGCCTCGCACCCTATGATGCTCCTGCATCGTCAGTACCTGCACTTGAAATCCCATAATGCAGGGTGAGATATACATATATATCTCAGTAAGCCAGGGGTCCTTGGAGATTCCTCCACCCCCAAGTTCACTTCAGCATAAAAGTAATAAATCATATGATACAACATATACATATCCATGTTATGGAAATAATGCTCATCCAAGACATCCCTCAGGTCAACACATATTCTCAGGAATGCTCATGCTGCAATAACAATAAATCCTACTGACCATAGAACCTACACACTATGAATTACACAAGGAAACATCCTTGATACATACCAAGTGCAACACATAGCATACACATACATATATCAAAGGCATAATATCAAATCTATGCAATTACATATATCGCATAAACCACTACCCCTTCAAGATACGGTGGAACAAGCATGAGATAAATCCCAAGGTCCAAAAGCTTACCTGCAGTAGCTTTCCAACCAAAATCCAAAGTATTCCACCACCAACTATAAGCAACACCTAAGCTTGATTCAATGAAAATTCAAGTGTCAATCTCCATTGCATGATCTAATAGTTGCTTGCTCTTTATTCCTCCACTTGAATCACTCCTTAAATTCAATGACATCTAGCAATATCAATCACAAATAGCCAATTACTTGCATTGCAAGAAATCACAGTAAAACACTTGTGATTTTTGAAACAACGCAACCATTGTCCAAATGAGGATTTGATCTTATTTCTACCAATTATTTTAGTCCCTAAGCATACTTTCCAAAGTAACTAAGGATATACATAATCCTAACACCATCATCCATGAAAATATCCAAAATGGCAACCTGGAAATCAACATAATGGAAACTAGGTGGAAATGAGGTTTTCTTACCTCAAATGGATTCACAACCAAGCTAGGAGTAATCTTCAATCCTTGGATGAGATCCAACAAGTCTCATTTGCTAGTAAACACCACAAAACCGCCTCCCTTCCTTAGAGTTTTCTCTCCACACACTCACTTTCAAGGGTATTTGAATTATAGGTCTTGTTTGTATTGAGTTTCTACACAACTTTCATGTTAACACTTTCTTGATTTAATGACTACACAAGCAACTAGAAATCCAAGCTTTCTCAATGGTGGGTCGGCTAAGGGAGAAGAGGACGCACAAAGAAGAAGGAAAGAAAATGGTTCAAAGTCATAACTTAGGATATTTTAGCTAAATATCAAATTTACTTAAAGTCAAAGCAACTTTAAGCGTAATCCCAATCATGTCCTTTCTTCAACTAAATTCATCTAACTTGATTTTAGACTTTCACTAAAATTATTTCATAATGTTCCATTCAATTATTTTTAAATTTCGGGTAACTTTTGTCTACTAGTAATTTTACCCCAAAACTAGCACTGTTTGACTTTTTCCAAAAATGCCTTATTTTTACCTAATTAGACTATCATAATTGTGATTAATTAATTAATCATTCCGCAAATCCATTATACACATGTTAGGGTTATTATAGTTGGCGATGATGTTCCAGGTGTATGAGGTCGAGAACAAAATGCTTCCATTCTTAGTGTGTTATGCATAATATTTTCTAATTTTTTATTTCTTTTTATTTCTGTTTTATTTGTTTGATCACGTCCGTGAGTGAGGGAGAACGAGAACCAACAAAACAGATTGCAATTGGAGGCGTGCACTGCAAAGATTAAAGCGAGAGAACATTTGTTTCCAAAAAAAAATATGTAATTGAAGAAAGAGAAGGAAGAGAGATTCTTTGACCAAAGAGAGAGAAAAAAGTAGTGGAGTCAAGTGTGCTTCAGAGGCATTGATTTAGATACTATCCAATGGTGCAAAATTGATAGTAATAGAAAGATTAAATGTTATGAAAAAAAAACTCTATTAAAATCTATTCCCTTAAGTGAATGTTCCAAAATATAATTTTAGACATGATAAAAATTATGATCATAATTAATGATTATCGATAGCACTAAGAAAAGTGTTACAAACTTGATTAAAGGCTCCTGAAGAGTTTGAATTATGTTACCTCAAGAAAAAAAATCAAGGAAGGAAATAAGGCCTCCTAATAGGAGCATGTTGATGCAATAATATTTCGTATGATGATCTTAAAGCCACATATTTAATGATAAAATATTCTACATTATTTGAGAATATATTTTATGCTTTTGTGCTTCAAATTTGCTTCCATAGTAGTAATATTGAGAGCGTGGCTTAAAAAAATATTTTAAGTTAATATCATATATGTCACAACCGAAATCACAGTCGAAAAACTATCAAAATTAAAAAAAAAACTTAATAACGGAGTCGCCATCTGTAACACCCGGCCACTTGTAGGATCAATGACTTTCCCACAAACTAACAAAA